CACGATTCATAAAATTAATTTAAAACAAAGTTTAAGAAATGGATGAGAACAATCCATTTTTTCAAACCATCCAATACGAAACTAGAGTATTTTAGGAAATGTAAGATAACCTTGCCACACCTTAATCTTATCTCTAGGTCATGTTTTTCTGAAAAAAAAATTCTCCGATTTAATAGAAATAGTTTACTGCTTCTTTAGATCAACATGTTTATTGGCAACAAAAAATTGCAGAATTGTAGATTTCAACCTACTATAGTGCATTTGGTAAAATACCCACTTATGAGCATGATTGGTTGAAACTTCTACAACAATTTTTTTTTTGACGAACTCGATAAAATGGTTTACCAAGCTACAGTTACATATTTCTCAGCATAATCCGCTGTAACTATCAATAGCATCAGTTCGCATTATATCTGCATAGCTGTCATAAGAACATCAGTTGTCCAGGGGTATTAAAAAAGCTCAGTTTTCGTTTCCCTCCGGTACTCTAAATGCGTTTTTGTGTAGGGTTGGAAAATCGATAATCTTGGGCGGATCGGGAATGGAAATGTGCGCAGTTGGCAATCTGATAAAGATGATGATGTTAATATGTATTTTCAAGGGGGGAGGTTGGCTGACCATGGCTTCCTTTCACTCGGATTAACTCGCTATTGTTACCAATTCTCTATCTCTCACTCGTTCGCTGTGACCCAAAAAGTAATGAGCAAAAGAAGAAAAGAATTTAAATTTGCAGGCGAAAGAAAACCAGAAAGTTCCATTAACAACAAATATTTTTGGCAGCCACAGACTCAATTTTAATGTTCTCTTCATTTTTTTTTTTTTTTGGGAGCGGGAAGCTGTTTGGGGGTTTGGGGGGTTTTTACCGAGCGGGAATTTTTGAAAAGCACACGCCATCCATCACTCAACACTGAAAACAATGTGATCAATGAAGTATATATTTAATTAGTTATTAAAACTTTGTATTTTGAAAAGCAGTCTGTTTTAATCTATTTCATTTTTTGTAATAGCTACACGGGTATATAAATTTCGGCTTACCGAAATTATTAAAGTTGTTTAAATGAAAGGAACATTCAAAATATAGAAAATCTTATCTTGCATTGTTTTCTCTGTGCGGTAATCGCTCGAAAGAGAGTAAAAGAGAGCGATATAGAAAGAGATACATAATGCTTATTCTGTTTCGAGTTCGAAATTAAAACGAAGCTAAGCTCAAAAATGGGAATTCGAACTGGAATTGAAATTGAAAAGAGCGGCGCGAAATCATAATGGAAATCAAAAATAGCAACCAAACACACATGCACTCACACTGATAAACAACGAAGTGTGTTGAAAGAAAAGCCACAAAAATGTGTTCGACGAAAATTGTTGAGCAAAAGAAACGGCGGAAAAAATTCAATTACATATTGGCTTTTGTTTATTTGTTGGCGCGGCTTTGAAATGGATTGGAATTTTGGTGTGTTGTGTGAAATCACGGACTCCAACTTTTATTTCTCTGTTTTTTTTTTTTCGAGAGGGGTGCGGCATAAATTTTCACTTTGCCAGTGGAATAACAACAACAAGCGAGCGGCGTAGAAGTGTTGCCAAAAATACAAAAACACACACACACTCTGGAATTTCGAATGCCAAAACGAGTTTTGAAACTCTGGTTCCTCTGCTTCTTCTTGCTCTCGCCGAATATTTTCTTCGTCATTCAAGAGCTAAAAAAAGGTAGAAAATAAGCAAAAAGCGTTGAAAAAATTTCCAACTTTTATTGTTAATTTCTTTGAGCGCAGCTTTTTAAGCTTGCTGCGCGGGCGTCGACGTCGGTAGAGAAGCACTTTAAGAAAATAATTGATCTTGATCTTGTATCTTTTTTAACTGATTAAGTTAATTTTTTTTTTGTTTTAAGTTAATTAAAATAATTTATTTATAATTTTGTATGTATGTACATATTTTTATTTTATTTTTTCCAGATCTGCTAATAAATCTAGAGATATTAGATTTCTTACCGTGCATAAGCATTATTTTTGTTCTTGTTTTTGGAGCCAACTTTTTTTTTACAAATTTGCTCAAATCAGGTAATTATTTATATTTAAGCATCAAAATCAAGTTTTGGCAATTGCTAATGCAAGACGTAAAAAATGGGAAAACATTTATACGAATGTACGCCTGTGTAAAGGTATGCTTGTACATTGACGATTTTATTAGAAAGTAGCAATTGGCAAAAACAAACGATATGTATGCAAAATGGCGAAATGCAAAAAAAAGTGGAACCATAAATTGAAAGTTTTATCTTTCCTGACACCTTTCTACTTCCCCAGCCGGGAATTTTAATTGCCTCGCTAAAAATAATGACAGGTGCCTGGTGAACTATGTTCTTCGGCGTTAATTACATTAATTTTATTTGTAGTAATATTACCTGTGTATATGAGCTGTTAATTTATTGAGTTTTTGATGTTCTGTATGGATGATGAGATCATTTTATTTTAGTATTCTACTAAAAAGCATTAAGAAAGAAATTTACTTGCAAAAAACGACATGGAAATTTATGATGTATATATGTATTTATGCTCATATGTACAGGTATTTTAAAAGCTAACATACATATATGGTGTTTAAACAAGTATTGTTAATTTAATAGATCCTAATTTATAAAGCTTGCTAAAATGGTTTAAAGGGATTATTATTTTGTCGTAAAATTTTATTTAATCGGCCATTTTTAATTTTTTTCTTTAATTGGAAAGCTTTATCCATGCGAAGGATATCTATTCAGGTGTTAAAATACCTCTATACTTAAGATGAAACAAAAACCCGAAGTGCCTTTCCTTAAGTTTTTATCTTTCAATCAACTTAAATATTTTATTTTACATTTAACGATTTTAAATTTTTTTAACATTTAAACAACTGTTTTTAAAACCTTTCTTCTATTTAAATGGTACATAATCGACAAGGTCACAGCAATCCTTACCAACCAAATTCGGTTGGTATTAAAGTATACATACATATTTATGTACATTGTACATATGTACATACATCCATACATACATACATCTACATATATTTATACTTACATTTTACATATTTAAATTCATACCATTTCCAACAGGATTTGGTTGAAAGATATTTGTGTGTCATACATTTCTGTACATACTTTTTACCATATTTATTGCGATCAACGGAGCTTTTTACGGAGAACTCCATATACATACATATGTACATGTTTTCGTATGTGCCAACCAGAAAAAACATTTTCTTTGCCTTTTCATTTAGCTCGACTTCCTTTTGCCACCCACAACCCCTTCTTCTTTAATTCCTCCCGCTTTTCAAGCAGACAATTGCAAAAAGCAATCAACTGTATCGTCGCCTATCACCTTCTCCCTCGCACTCGCTCGTTCTAGCGCACGAACGATCTTCGGATTTTCGAATGCAGCAGAAAGAACAACAAAAAGCAGAAACTTCGTGCCCACACGCATATACACAGGCAAACCTTTTTCATTTTCGACTTTTGTTCGAACTTTTTTGCACCGATTTTTTTTAATAGCAAACGGCAACTCAGGAATAAATCGTCGTCGCTCCGCACGTTAAATTTTCGTTATTTCCCACCCACACAGAAAATCATATTTGTTGGTAATTTAAAAAGCTGCGCGCATTGCATTACATAAATCCAAGTGGAGTAACGAAAAAGAAAAGCAGAAACACCAAACCGAGTGATGTGAAATATGTACATTTTTGTGTCGAGTGCAAATGCATAACAATTATTTATTATAATTAAAGTTCGGAACAGATAATAATACGTTGGTGTTTGTGAGTGTTTGTCGTCTCTCCTTCGCAAGAGAGACCGAGACGGAGGGAGAGAGAACGTGGCCGAGTTGCAATGAAAACTCCAATGAAAATTCAGGTGAGCGATTGTCAAAAAAACTTGAGTTGTGCGACGAATATATTTTTGTACATTTGTGTGTACATTATGTAGCCGCCAAGTAATTTATAGAATTTATGTTCGGCCAGAGGAGACACTCCTCGGATCAATTAGTATTGGCTAGAAGAATTTCGCACTGGAATGTTAATTTTCCAGACCCAGTCGAAAACCGTTAAAAATTAAGGTACATAAAAGGTACACATAATTTTTACACAAAATTAGAGAGAAAACGCGAGGCGATGAAGTCATGCTGGAAGCCAAAAATAAATCAACGTCGATCATAAAAGCGTTTTGGAGAGTGCACAAAATATAATTTGCGCTTTTTAGTAGGAAATGCATTGCACACAAAACTAGCATCTGTCCCCCTCGCACACGCACGCACACAAATGCTTTAAAAGAGAGAAAGGGGGAGAGCCAAAGAGAGAGCTTGCTCGACAACGGTAATTTTTACCATTTCGAACATTATGGCTTCGTTTTGCCTGTGAAAAAAGCAAAAAAAAATCAAGCAACAAAAGCTAAAGCAACAACAAATCTCGCCCCTTGGTGGGTAACAAAAACAATAACAACTGCGAATGATATTTTCGAACTCCGCCGCATAGAACCAGAGTTCCCAGCCTCTTCTGTGGACGATAGAAGCATTTCCTAAATGGGATTCAGGGAGAAAAAAAAGGAATTCATAAACTTACTTTTTCGCTTTTGGGATATGTATGGTTAAATTTCAATCGAATATAAAACTGGGTTAAATGGGGAATTTTGTTTGTCATATTTTAGCTTAACAGTAAATTAATTAATTAATTAATTACAAATCCGCCAATTATTTTATTTTTGTTGGGACTTTTCCTCCTGTTTTCGTCGATCTTTATCTGAGAGAGTTGACAACTCTAGCTGGCAACTCTGCGCGGCAAGCATACAAAAAACAGCCAAATGAAGAGGAAAAAAGAGGCAGCACGAGGGGAGACAAACAGACGACGTCAACTCATTTTTCGAACTCGCACTCTCTTCGGGTTTCGAACTCTGCGCTCGGCTATCCGACAGTGACAATTCGGCTCCGTTCTCTCTTCGGCAATTCTACTTTGGGCAGTTTTCGTGGCCAGCGGAAAAACTCCGTCAATTTCAAATTCACCGTTTCGCCGTTCGGACGTTTTGCCCGTTGGAAACGTTGCGGGCGTAGTTTTTCTTCAGGCTCCGCGTCCGCAATTTTCAGTGTGGTGCGTTGTTGCTGCTGCCTACTCTTTTTCTTTCTGCTCTCCACGGCAGCGGGAAAGGAAAATACAAAACATACACTTGCATACAGGGCCCCACATACAGTAAAAATAAATTCAACTTTATTGCTTTTACCCGTCGCGTTATCGTGTGTGTATATATACATATATATATATGTATATATGTATATATATGGTTTTCGAAAAGCAACGCCAAAATTTGATATGTGCAAAGTTTTATTGACGACTACGTGCTGCCTGTGATTCTATTTCGGTGTGTATAAAAAATTGATAAATAATATTGTTAAAACCTACATATTTAATTAATACTAAAAACTTGCATTTGAACTGTACTTGCTCGTGCTAGTGTGTGTTTTTGCATATCGAATCGATATTTCCAGTGGTGTTTCTATCGATTTTTCCCTATGCTCACAGAGGAGAGAAAGCTTTTCACCAGAAAGGGGAAAGGGAGAGAGAGAGCTTTCCCACCGAATGCAACGCTGAAGTAAAATGACGAGCGATTTTCATTAATTTTCACACACGCACACTCTGAAAACTGGCTCACTTTCCATGCAAATGAGGTCAAGTGTTGCAGTGGAAAACGTTTCTATAGATGTGTGTCGCCCAGTTACATAAGCTTTTGTTAAAAATGGAGGGATGCAAAAACTAATTAAAAGCTAAAGCTTGGTAAAAAATTTAGTTAGTAAACAATGCGCTTGAGAAGAGTAACATAAAATAAAATGCTGGCTTGGAACTCCTAGAGTAAAGCACGTTTTTCAATTCGATAGATTCCCAAAGTCTCGTTGGCCGCCATCTTGGTTTTCCCCAACACATAAAATATTTTGTTCTCTCGCTCTTTTGGCTCCCCTTCCTTTCTCTCCCGCTCTTTCTGCCTTACTCCCTCTTTCGTTTTTATGTTTGTTCACGACAAAAAAAAAGCCAACAAAAACAAGCGTGAAATTTCCTCTCTGCACTTTTCACACACACTTGGAAATATGGGAGAGACAGAGGGAGATAGAGAGAGTAGTCGCCACATATTTTTGTTTCCACTTTGTGCTACACTTTTGCTACGCCGATTTTGTTGTTTTCTTTTCGACACGTTTACATTTCCATTTTTCATATTTTCGTGTCGTCATGGGATTTCTGCGACGTTGCTGAATTTCACCTGCAAAAGTTTCATTTGTTTACATTTTACGCACATGTGCAGAATAATAACAATTATAAATGAGATATAAAAAAGCTTTTGCGCAACAAGTGTAGGAAATCAGCAACTGTATTTTTTTCTTTGGCTTTTTGCCTTAATTCTTTGTTTACCACTTACATATGCTACTTTCGAGTCATCAGATTTTTCGAATCACCAATGACCTTGCAACGAATATCTGACCTAATGTCGCACTTTTATTTTTTCTGTTTTCTACCATTCCCATGTTCTTGTTATTACAGTAAACAGAAAATATAGAAAAAAAAGATTGAAGGAAAATAATGAGCTGCCGTTATCGCAGACTGCTCTTTGGCCGACTTTTATTTTTGTTAGTTTTTATTTACTTATTCGCTTTGGCCATTAGCAAAAAAGTTCATTGAACTTTTGTGCGTTTTATTTCGCTGTCTATTGTTGATTATTCTCGGTGGCTTAGTTTTTTCACTTTCTCTCGATTTGACGGACAGTTAATAAGTTTTAGGCAGATTTAACCAATGGTATGCTTAAAAAATCCGTTCAGGAAGAGGACTTTTCAGATGTACATGCATTAAATCACTTAAAAGTTTTCGAGCATTTAAAACTCGATATACTTTACGATCGTTTGCTTCTATAAATGGCAACCGAATAAATAACCTTTAAAAAAGGCGGAAAAACTCACAAACAACATTCTCAAAAACTATACAAAAATCAAATAAACGACATCATCAGCGGGGCGGCAAATCTCCATGGACCGCAAGGCAGATATACATAGATAACCTCACCAAAACCCAAAGCAGCGACTTCCTCCGCACCCACACTACTACAAGTATAACACCCGCAGTCTCATATACAATTACAGATACAGATACATTCGCACATAACAAGCCCTTAACATTCACTTTAAATAGCTTTTCGAGAAAACAAGTTTTGTGGTTGACTTTTTTTTAATATACATTTTCGCTGCTTTAATGGCAAAACGACATTTTCTGCGGCCGAACAGAGCCGAGCGAAGCGGAAAACGAAAGAACTATGGAAATGGAAAACGATATGTTCAATACACTTTAATACAACACTTCTAGATTCCAAGTTTCATGATCGATATTATGATTAATGGCTCATTTTCCGAGAGATACTTAGAACAATCAAATATTTAATTGCAATGCATAAGTTATATAAGTAAAAATAGCTTCATGTGTTTTATTTTTCTTATATGGAAATTAAAGCCATGCTCAATTACTTAAGACTAGTTTATGATGACTGTTGCACCACGACTTGGGAAATAACGTGTCTTATTTCTAGGAAAAAATAAAATTAACTAACGATATTTTGGGTAATTTACCCGGACGATCCAATGTTGACTCAGATTGATGGTTTATTTTCACCTGATCTCGTTGTACACTAGATCAGCTTTTCTCAATCATCTGTTGTAGCCTGGTTGCTACATGTGTAAAGAAAAAATCAACGGGTAGAGAGGGTGTAAAAATAAATAAATAAGCGACAGACGCCTACGTGGGTTTTCGGAGGTATTTTTCCCCTCTTGTTTTTTTGGGCTTCAAACCGAGCGAGTTGTTCGATGTGCTCGTGTGTTGCTATTCAGCAACATTTTCAGCTGCCAGAAATTAAATTATTGAAAGTCAGTGCGAGAGTCGTCGAGTTTATTTTTACGTCGTAAATATACAAATTTTATGTCTCGCAAAGACGCGCATACACACTCATGCGTTCGAGCAGAAAAAGATTCCACTTTATGCAAATCTTGTGGGGGAAGTTTTGTATTTTGTTCTTGGCCTCCACACTCTTTTTCTCTTTCTCTCTTATTTTTAAGTTATTTCCATTTTAAATTTGTTTTTCTGGCCAAGTGTGTGTGTGTGTGTGTGTGTCATGGCGATTTTTCTGGCTGCGATGTGAAATGAAATGAGTTTCTTAAACTGGTTTTTCTGCCAGCGATCGGATCGGATCTCGGATCTCTAAACCAACAAACAACTCGACTTGCCAACCGAGAACGGCGACGACCACCCGCTCCTCCGTTTCATTTTCGAAATGGCACAGTTCTTGTATATTCTGCGGAACCGGTTTTTCTTTTGACTTTTGCACAGAACAGCCAGTAAAAAACACACACACTCAGAACTCTGAAAACCAGCCCCATTAATATTTCCAAGTTCAGAGCTCTCTCTATCTCTCTCTCTCTCTTTTGCTGGCCAAGAATTTTCATTGCTTCGGGGGCTCCAGACTTTGGCGGCACTTCCTGTGCAAAGAGGAAGAAAAAGGGACGACAGTTGTGATCCAACATCTGCCGGCAGGACCAAAAACTGGAGGGAGAATTCATATGTATAATACAGTGAACCTGGAGAGGGGGGATCAGCATACTTAGGGGTTGATTGCAACCCCAAAAAACACGGGACAACAGGACCCTCTTCCTCCTCCTTTCCCATAAACCGGTTCTCCCGGGGTTCACCTTTTGCCGTCTGGCGCGTGCTTAGAAAAAGGGGACCGACATCGCCCCGACATCCTTTATTATCCGCTCCCCATCCCACCATCGCATCCCATTTTCATTTCCATCTGGTACTCAAAAAGTCTGTTGGCATTGAACCCTGAATTAATGAAGCGGGCCTGAAAAGCCTAAAACACGTTTTTAACAAAAAGATTCAAATGGTAAATAATCTTCAATTTATCATCCATTCATTTTCCGCTCCATATTGCAATCTATTTCCTTTTGGCCTTATTATATTAAAAGCCCTCACAAAATCAAGTTTATAAGAAAAGATTACATATATTATTGAATAGTAAGCAACCCAATCAAACTACGAAAAATATACATCAGTTTTTCGTGCTACAGCGGTTGCAATAATAAAATAAAAGTTGAGTTTTTCGCTAACAACGTTTCGTGAAAAAACATTTTGAACGTAGTTTGATAGTAGATCTCAACACAAAATAGTATCAAGTTTGTTTTGCAGAAGGATTTAAATAAAATTGATGGGAGCAACTAGCTTTTAAAAAGTAAGAAAAATATATATTACATTTTTTCTTATAATCACGCAGTTGCTAGAAGAAACATAAGATGAGTTTTTCGCTAACAACGTTTCGTATAATAAAATAATAGAACGTAGTTTGATAGTAGATCTCAGCACAACACAAGGATTTTCTTTATATTTAAAAGTAATATGTTACATGATTGACAGCAGCTCGCTTATACAAAAGTATGGAAAATGTATCAAATATTCTTCATACAATCCTGCGTTTGCTAAAGCATATTTCAGCTGAGTTTTTCGCTAACAACGTTTCGTAAATTAAAAATTGTGAACGTAGTTTGATAGTAGATCTCAGCACATTAAAATAGGTTTACTTGATCGAAGCAATTCGCTAATATAAAGTATGAAAAGTGTACTTAAAGTGTTTCATACAATACTGCGGTTGCTAAAACAAAGTTCCAGTTGAGTTTTTCGCTAACAACGTTTCGTAAAATACTATTTTGATCGTAGTTTGATAGTAGATCTCAACACAGAATTTCTAGAATTCAAAGTATTAGGGAAAACATTTATTGTCTTACTTGATTATTAATATTTCTTAAAATTTAACAACTGGATTTAGCTGTGGAATAAGCCTCAGGGAACAGATCAGATATAGACCACTCTCGTACTGCACTTGTCATTGTTTCACCATTCATTATTATTTACCATTTGCAACAGCAATTTATTAGTGTTTTGGATTTATTTTTGCCAAAACATTTCCTAATGTTGTTGCCAGATAAAAACCCAGTTGAGATTTTCGCTAACAATGCTCCGTAAAACGTAAAATTTTGGACATCGTTTGATAGTAGACCTCAGCACAGTCTCTCAGTCTCTTAGTACCAATTGCTCATTACTCCACCCCCATTAACTTAATCTTTTGTGGGTTCTCGTGGGAAAAGGAAAACTGAACCCCAAAGAAGTATTAGCCTTTGGGACCAACTGTACTTTTTCCGCAAACGTACACAACTCGCTCTTTTCGTTCACAGGATCCCAATTCATAATCCTCCACCATCTGCGCAAAAATAAAGCCTTGCAATGTGCAAAGAGCGCGCGTCATTCGTTTTCCACAGGGAGAGAGTGAGAGAGAGCGAGAGAGATCCTTTTTCGCCTCCCTGCAGTTTTTACCTACTTCTCTTTGTGTCTGGACCTATGTATGTATGCCTTAATGTGTGTTTGTGGAAAACCCCTCCAATGCATCATCATTGGGGTAAGACTCGTTGTTTTTGCCGCTTCTCTTTAGTGATTTTTACACAAGGAAAAATCTGAAAAAAAAAAATATTTTCACTTAAGTTAATATGGTGTTCAAATAAAATTTAGTCGAGATGATGTCTGCATTTTGTAAAAATAAGGTTGTTAGTCGTTATTGTTATTATTAAAGGCAAAGTTTAAAATTTGATGAGAAATTATGGAATTGATCAATCAAATTTATTTTTCTGTGTATTTTGTGCGCATGCTTGCACCTTTCTTCATTGTGGACCCTGTGTGTGTATAACAGAAATTTGAAAAACTGATCCCTCCGCCTAACGGTACTTGGCTTGGGTTGCCCTGGGGGTGATTTCATCTTCTTCCTTTCTCCCTCCCTTTCCTTTTTCACTCTGCTAAGTTTTTTTGCGCCTGGATCTGGCGAAAAGGAAACACAAAATTAAACTGGAAAACACAAAGCAAAGAGGAAAAGGGAGCACATAGTCACGTAGACATGTGTGTATTATGGTCATTCGTCCTCTGCCGTCAACTTAGTTAAAGTTTTCTTTTCGGTAATTTTTCAACACAGAATAGTTTTCTGGGACTTTATGAAAATGAAAACCACGTGCATAGTTTAAAATCAGATAACCATGATTTAGCCTATCCTTTATAGAATCGAAATAATGTACATACATAATTCGGCAAACACAAAACAAAGTACGCAGAAAATCAAAGTATCAACGCTTTTCACCCAATTTTTGCTACCTGCATGTGTTAGTTTGTCTGTGTATTTCCCGTTATTTCGCTTTGGCACGATTATTGCAGTTCTCCTTTTCCTTTGGGCTCCTTTTTCTGCTGCCTCTGCCGACTTCGCTGCCGCAGCCTACCTGCCTCTCTCTTGCTCTCCGCTTACTTGGCACTTTCATAACGTGCCCCCAAACGAGGGAGAGAAAGAGAGCGACGCTCAACTCTCGCTCGCCCCCTCTCGCTCTAGCAACTTCGTTTTCAGAGGGCGGCCATTGGTTAGAGAGAGCTCAAATGAACGCGCTGCGAGACGAGAGAGCACCGCAGCAGAGGCGTCGCTTCCGAGGGTCGCTCGTTGCCATCACATTTGCGTCGTTTCATTTATTTTCTTGCGCTCGGGGCTTTTGTTTGGTTCTCTGCGTTGTGCGGCAGATCGCGCGGTTGCTAGCTAAATTACAAACATTTACACATCTACGGCAGAAGCGGAGCTAGAATAGGAACCAACCTTTGCAGTGCTAATTATTTACAACACGACAGTAAGTGAAGCATAATCGCGAGCGAGAGAGATTGTGAAATAGCGCCATATCTATATGATGGCTGATTTAGTGTACATGTGTGTGTGCTTGTGCTTCCAATGAAAAACGTTCTATTTTTAAATGCGCACACCATAAAAAACTGAAACGATTGCTCCACACTTCAACTTTAAAAATTATCAGTGGCCGTTGTGTGTGTGAGTGATTATGATGGGGGAAAACGAAAATCATCTACTTGTGAAATTTTCCACAACGGAGAAAAAAAAACCCGGACCAGACACACACATGCATATGTGCGCTGCAGCGAAAACTTCCCCTCTTTATGTTTCATGCTTCGTTTTTCGGTTTTTTCACGAAGTCTCTTCGTGTTTTATCGTGTCCATCGATCTCCAACACTAACACACGAGCATTCATTCGGGAAGCAACTGTAATGCAAAATCCGTTAGCTCTCTCTTTTAATGAGAGCGTGTGTGTTGGAAAGAGCAAAGTTGAAAATTAAGAAGCAAAAACTCGCTCGAAATAAGTAAAAAAAAAAAAAAAAAAAAAAAAAACTGCATATTGCTGTGAAAATTTTGCATATACAAATTACAAATGTCTCTGTGGGCGTGTGATGGCAAAAAACAATAATAATCTAGCTAAAATTTAAGTGTGTGCAAAAGAGATACAAGATGTTATTGCTGCGCTGAAATTAAACATGAACTTGACCTTGGGGGCAGCATTATTGCGAGTTGTTTTTTGCGTTACTAATTTTTGTATTTCCTCTCTTTCTTTACAGCATAACTGCTGACACACAAAACCAAAAGAAGAACCGAAGGCGAAAACATTTTTTTGTTTAGCCCCCACTGCACCTCCAAATTTTTCCCATTGTAAATCAGCGAGCGAGTGGCGAAAAAACAGCAAGTCAGAGAGAGTGCTTAACGACCCGGCCCCAAGGACGTGGGCCCAAAAACCCCCAGAAATCCTACCATCCCCATCCAAAACATAAAGCCAAAATATGGATGACGATCAGCAGTTTTGTTTGCGGTGGAACAACCACCAGAGCACACTGATCAGCGTGTTCGACACGTTGCTGGAGAACGAGACTCTAGTCGATTGCACGCTAGCCGCCGAGGGCAAATTTCTCAAGGCCCACAAGGTGGTGCTGTCAGCATGCAGTCCCTACTTTGCTGTAAGTTTTCGAGAAACCCCATAGAAATACGATTTTCATAACTAAAAATTAATTCTATTATCTACAGACCTTACTACAAGAACAGTACGACAAGCATCCCATTTTCATACTCAAGGATGTCAAGTACCAAGAGCTGCGCGCCATGATGGACTACATGTATCGTGGAGAGGTCAATATTTCGCAGGATCAGCTGGCCGCCCTGCTCAAGGCCGCCGAATCGCTGCAGATTAAAGGTCTGTCAGACAATCGCACTGGCAGCGGAGCGGCTCCCAAGCCAGAGTCCTCGCATCATCGCGGCGGTAAGCTGAGCGGTGCCTACACACTGGAGCAGACTAAGCGAGCCCGCCTGGCCACCAGCGGAGCGATGGACACCTCCGGCGATGTGTCTGGTTCGCGCGAGGGCTCTTCGAGTCCGTCGCGTCGACGTCGAAAAGTCAGACGTCGCAGCATGGAGAATGGTGAGTTGTCAAGCGATTAGGATTATCTTTAATACTGCTGAAAAGCCAAACCCCAAGTCGAGAACGTTCTATAGATTGAACTATAATTTAAAAAACAACATGGTTGACCGTTTTGCATTTCAAGAATGATAATTGTTTTGAATTATTTAGAGTCATTTTCGGACTATATCTGACTTATTGTGTCATCTTTATTGAATTTGGATTCTTATTCGTTATTTCAGATGCCCACGACAACTCTAACTCGTCCGTGTTGCAAGCCGCCTCGAATCAGTCAATCCTCCAGCAGACAGGCGCCGGTCTACCCGTCTCCGCTTTGGTCAGCACCCAGTTGTCCAGCGGACCCGCAGCCGGAACCAGCAGTCAAGCGTCATCGACCCAGCAACAGCAGCCATTGACCAGCACCAACGTTACCAAAAAGACTGAAAGCGCTAAACTAACATCCTCGACAGCCGCCCCAGCGAGCGCAGCAGCTGTGTCAGCGGCCGCCGTACAACAGGCCCATTTGCAGCAAGCGCAGACTACAAGCGATGCCATTAACACCGAGAATGTACAAGCCCAGAGCCAAGGTGGCGCCCAAGGCGTCCAAGGCGATGATGAGGACATGGAAGAGGGCAGTGCCATTGGCGGAGCAAGCGCCGCAAGTGGGCCCAACCCCGCCTCCGCCTCTGCATCCGCCGTCCATGCCGGAGTTGTGGTAAAGCAGCTGGCCAGCGTTGTGGACAAATCGTCATCGAATCACAAACAGAAGATCAAAGATAACAGCGTGTCGTCCGTGGGCTCCGAGATGGTTATTGAACCAAAAGCTGAATATGACGACGATGCGCACGATGAGAACGTTGAAGATTTAACACTGGACGAGGAGGACATGACAATGGAGGAGCTGGACCAGACGGCCGGCACCAGCCAGGGTGGCGAAGGATCTAGTCAAAGTAAGTATACACTTGATATCTCGCGTTATATATTTTTAGAAACTAATCTTTTTTTCTTTTTCTTCATTAGCATATGCAACATGGCAGCACGACAGATCTCAGGATGAACTTGGACTAATGGCACAGGATGCACAGCAACGGGATCCCCAAGGTGAGTGTTTGTTGCCTCTGAACTCGTTTATATGAGCTACGAACAAATGAAAAAGCAAAAAGTACAGCTTAGCCTAGAAGTTTTTAGACGAGATGTTTTTTCAAACCAGCGAGCACGACAAACAAAAAGCTTAAATTAAAATGCAAATGCAGATAAGAGATTAAAATCCAACTTTCCAAGGTCACAACTAAATTTTATCCACACAAACACTTAAATAAATACATATGTTTATTTTTTAAAATTCTAACGTACACTTCATAAGTCGTGCTCCGAAAAAAGCTCTTAAACGTTGAAAAGAACAAAAAGAAACAGAATTTTTTTGAATATAATTTTCAACAAGATAGCAGACGAAAAAAAGCAAGCAACAAGAAAAAGTACAAGTACAAACCATACCAAAATAACAAGATTTGTGAGCAAGAGTTTGGCGCAGAGAAAAAAAAAAAACAATAGCAAAAAAGTAAAATTAATGTTGAAGAGCGAGAATTTACGACTCTGATTTGAAATGTTTTAATGAGAGTTTGCAATGTTTTTGATTATTTTTTGTTTTGTCTGCGCCATTTTTTTTGTCACAGATAAATTAACCCGAAACAAGAATAATTTGTGCAAGTTGAAAGTATTACTTAAAAACTCTTTCTTTACTTAATATAATTTTTTACGAAACTAATAATTTTTTAATTACGACACACATAATTCGTATAACTAGTAATCTTTTTTTTTTGTACAAATCTATTTACTATGATTAATTTTTAACAAACACACTTTCGAAAAGAAAATGAGAAACATTTACCACTCACACTCCACCAACATATATAATTGCTATTTACCACAAAACCCTACCACCACCAACCACCCTCTAACATTCTCATTTTACCATTTTCTATATATATATGTATGATTCTATGTATGATAATTTGTTGTTTAATTTTCGTAATTCGTTTATTTTACAATTGGTGTTTGATTAACTATTAATTTTGCCTTTTAACTGTATATATAAATCGCATAATTCAACATTCTCAACATTTTTAGTTGCTCGCCCCCTCACTATCTCTATTTCCCCTCCCTCTCTTTATTCTGTCTCTTTCCAACATTAAGCCGTTAGCTGTAGAGCAAAGAAAAAATGTTCATTCCATAATAATTCATTATTCATGGTCACACTGACTGACTCACTCACACACACAGACACACACACAAACACACTCAGTCACACTGCAGCTCCAATTTAGGAAGAAAAGTTAAAGAATTCCCTTATCATTTAAGTTAGTGTTAAAATGTACGTATCAACAATGTTCTATGTCTGTGCGTTGTGATCTCTCTCGCTCTTTCTCCATTTTTTTAAGCTGCTGTTTGTGTGCGTGTGTCATTGTGTATAGTGTGTGTGTGTGTGTGTGTGCGAGTGTGCAGTGCTCCACATATATTCCCCCAATCTCAGAAAGAAAGCTCTCTCAGTACAGTCGCGTCAAAAAGTTTGCAAAGTTTGGCCACACTTCCAGCAATTCTAGAAAAACTCAATTATGTTTTGTTGCCCCTAAATTTGTTTGCATTTTTTAAGCATAACACCCCACCCCACACCCACGAACATTCGCAAACAAACATTCATTTGTCGTTATTCTTTTGTGCCATTCCATTTTGATTGTCCTCTTTTTAGAACTCTCAGCGCGTGCTAATGTTTTTATACACAGTTTTTTTTTTACTTTATACATATTATTACAAAAATACGCATGCAGTTTTAAATTGTATTTTAGTACTATCTCTATATATACATATATATTTTGCTTTATTTTGGTTGACGGGACCTTTTTTGTTTATTATTTTCCTTATAAATTTGTTTCTAGTTTTAAAGCTAGTTTGTAAGTTTTTCCGATACGACTTACGCGCTCGCGATTTCTTACGCGTTAACGTCTATTAGGTTTGGGCAAACTTTTTCCCACAACCAAAAGATGTTCGTTGCTTGATAAAAAAAAAAAAAACTTTAAAAAGTCAAGTGCCAAGTGTTTTAAACCGGAATTCAACTCATGTCAGAGGAGATGGAACCTGAAACCAAAGGATCATCGCTTGAGGAGAAGGATCAACTACCGCAGGTCTCAAGTCGTTGCCAAAAACAAAGCACGTAGCCATCATAGATGGTGAGGTACAATCGCAGCTTTGGGCACTTCGACGAGATCCAACTATAATCCCAGCAAGCATCTAGCTTCAGAGTGGAATTCTCAGGTGCGTGTTCAGGTGAGTATGCTCCGCTCGACGGTATCGGTTGGGCGGAGTGCAATACAAAAATGAAATAAATTTTGTATTTTAAGTTCATTTTTGTTTGACCCCTGAAATACCCGATCCCTAAATACGACCATATCCTCGAGTCCCTTTCCTTATCACCAAATACCTCCTCCCAAAATCAACTTTCATTCCTCATAAAAAAATTAAAGAAAAGAAAAATTTACAGCGATTACAGGTAATGTGTGAAAACGAAAAGTCTACAAGCGCTCTCTTTCTCCTGAATAGAGTCGATGGGCCCAGGGTAAGCTATAGTGTAATTCTCAGGTTTTACTCTTCTTCCGATTTATTTCTAAGTGTACACATTAAACTTGCATTGTATATACATACTTTATTTCAAATTATATTTTTTGTTTGGCGTTTGTTTTACAAAATTGCTCGAAGCGTTGCCAAACAGACATCAACAAGCAAATACACATTCTCGATCAATACCTACACAAATGCATATAAACAACACTGCTATATAGTGTTTATAAATTAGACTTGTTTAGCAGAAAGTCTTAAAAAAACCATTTGATTGTGTTATTGGTTCAAACAAGTCGTGTTCTATTGGTGTCTCAAAAAAAAAATAATGATATTCTGTCAATTGCATCAAGTTTTGTTTAGGTGTTTTCGAGCATTTTTTTCTGTTGAATATTATTTACTCTATTTCCTATCGAGATAAGAAAATTTTCCCTTCTCGATTATATTTGGATTTGGATCTCAATGTTTCGTCAATCCCTTTTATTGGTAATTTTCGTGTTGTGTGTTTTTCTTATATGAACAGCTATAGGAGATTTTGTTTGTTAATATTACTTTTAATGAAATATAATCCTTCGTTTTCACAGAAAAGGAAAAATGATTCGCTTTCTATATATTTCTAGTGAAAAATTTAAGGGTTTTTCCAAAATGCGCTATTTGAAAGCTTTGAAAGCTTGTTTTCAGTGTTTCGATTTTTTATTTGACCAATAAATTTATTGAGGCTTTGTTTTGCTCGTTAGCAAGGCGAGGTATATAAAAAAGAGACATTTTAATATCCATGAAACTGTTGTTAATCTCTCCCATCTCCTCTTTTACCCACCCTATTTTGTCGGTTCTCGCTGTCTATGCTCGTTCTGTTAATTGTTAATCAGCAAAAACAACAAATGCTACAACAATGCCAGAGGCATTCGTTCAAGTTCAAGGTCGGCTAAATTATAATGTGTTTCTATGTGTGAATCTGTGAGGTTTTTTTTTTTTCTCTTTAATCACCATTGTTCACATGAGTGGGGGGGTCTTGAAGAGGGCTGAAGAATGAAGCAATAATATTAATGTTCATATCTCTGTGAATGTATCGCATTTGTTAGAATTTTGTTGGTTTATTTTTTTCGCTGTTTTCTTTCCATTTGCTATTTTTAAAAATTCGTGCTGCATCCGTGTAAAGTCAATGGATGGTGATGCGATGCGATGTTGCTGGACAATTAAACTTTAATTTAATGGTTGCATAATGAATCAGGTTTGGGAATTATGGGAATTTGAAGAAACGTAGAAAGTTGCTTAGCTGGATTTGAGGAAGTGGTTTGCAAAACCACTTTAAATTTAATATTCTTTGGTCATTTTATGACCTAACCTTATATAACCAAAGGTTTTGTTAAGAAAGACTTTTGATTATGCTCTAAATTATGCATCATTTATAATGCCATATATGCTTGACAATTGCAGTTTCTTATTTTAAAAGTAATGCTTATTTTCGCTTCTTGTAAGAGCGACATTAGAAGTTAAATAAATGCTGATTGTAGAATTGTGGCTATGAAAAATGGTAACAAATTCAATAAACAGTTGTTTAACAGTGGAATACTTATCACAGCACCACGGATTTAAAATCACGTCTAAATCGATTTAGTATAAGTGAGAGGCTATGTTTTTCATTCGTTGGTCAGTTTTTAAAGGTTAATCCAATTTAATTGTTTTACGAAAACTACTCATCAGCGTCTACTAATAATGTTGAATTGCCTTATAATTCCTTTTCCACTTATTTCATATCAACTGTTGGGCAGTGTATTTTAAAATAATATTGATTTAACAATGTGCAATAAAGATTAGGAGCTTTGTTTTAAAACCCTGTTCTGTTCCGTATTTTTTTTCTTTTGTTCGCAAATCAACTTGAAAGTGGGATTTTTTTTCAGTTTTAAATTCTAACACACCACCTCCCTATTTCTGGTTTTGGCCCAGTTGAAAGCTGTTTGCATGGCCTTGACCCAATTTACAGGCAGACATTCGCATACATATATAAACACACACACACAAACAGGCACTGTCGTCAGGCAGCGAAAGAATCTTTTTCGTCTTTTTTTTTTTGTGTAACTTGCAATAAGCCTAAAGCTTTTTATGAAATCACGCAGACCAGACCGCAAGCTCAAAACAAAATTTATTTACTTGCGGTCCTTGTTTATTTGCTTGTTTTCGTGTGTGGGGGTGTCTGTGTATATCTGTGCATAAATTGAAATATAAATGTGTCCTTAAGCTTTTTATGTAGTTTAAATGCAACAATTTTGCTCCACCTGAAGTATTTCGTAGTTGGTATTTGTCTTTTATCTGGCCTTTTCCCATCTTTGTGCTTTCTTCTCTCTTCCCCTAACCATTTTCAACTTGCATTTATTTATATAGTAATAATACTGTGAAATTTCAACACAAAAAAAGATAGTAAGAGCTTTTTTCAATGCCAGCGCAGAGTAAAAAAAATAAAAAGTTTTATTTATTTTGGAAGAAAAAAAAAC